CAAAAATAGTAAAAATTATAACATCTCTCAAGTATTTGTCCTTCTGTAAAGCATCACATTGGTACCAAGTATGGTCTTAGCAGCAAAGGGAATTGTTAAGAACTGAAAAAGCAAACTCATGCCAACCATGGGCCTTTAGACTCTGCTGGACATCATTAAATAGGAGAAAATTTCCTTTCCACACAGCAACAAATGGGGCACTTATTAAATCTGGAATTACTTTGTGCCTATTTGGTGTCTAGACTGGCTTTATTCCTAGTGACCTGCAGAGTATTCCTGTGTGGTCTCCTGACATAGGAATTTGAGATGAGTTTTATTTTGCCTTACGCTTTTTTCTTTTTGATGTATGTTCAGTGGCTACTGGACAAATGTATGCCTCAGTACATTTATCGGAAGACAGCTGTCGTTGCATTTGTGCAGTAAAGGTTAGACATGGGCAAGTTAATTGTGTTTATCCCTTTTATGGTATTTATTGCAAAGTTTTAATAATCTGAATTGGGAAATAAAGTCACTGAAGGTGACAAAATGTTCTTTCAATTGCTGCCTATATTAAAAGGATTTCATGGTACAGTATGCCTTCTTTAACGGTACTGCCTCTGTTCAGGTAGCAAACTGAGTGATGCTGCCAGGTCATTCTTGGCTCCCTGATATGTTGTTCTCTGGGCTAAGTGGCTGGAACTTCTGTTTTAAAACTAGTTAACAGATACTGCTATTCAGCAGGCTGTTCCCATCATAAAAATCAAGTAATTGTAATCAGCAAGTACACTTTTTGATAAAGTTTTTCAGGCTTCTGCAAGTGTTAGTAGAAGAAAAATATTCTGTATTGTTGTACTTTAGGTTTTTAAGATACTCTGTGTCTCTAGTCAGATTTTTACCCTAACCTAAATTTGCCATTGCAGTGCCATGGCAAGTCTAGCAGTGTGACATGATGGAGTTTCTACAGGGAGAAAATAAATTTTAAAATCTTCCTTTAACAATAGCAGATTTTGTCATATTAACGTGAATCATTTCTCTCCAACTTAAAAAAAGTATAGTTCACTAGATCCAAAATAATATACCTTCAACTCGTAGTTCTGTGATCTTATTTATATTAATGCTTTATTAATACTAATATTTTGGAACACACTTAATGGGAGACTTCCTAGTGTGTTCCATGCTAATCACGACAGAAAGGACGCTTGGATTTAATACAAATTCTTCCAGGTGATTCATCCAAAACTAACGCTAGACATTGTGGATGTTCCTGTAGTCATATAGTCTGCTTTGTGTGAGTACATGAGAATTCATTTATAGTTATGGCAGGGAATACAGAAAGGTTAAGCACATCTCGGAAATAACCTGGGCCAGTTTATACAGAGCCCCTGGCAAACTGAAGTAATGGACTTACTGAGGAAGCAATACCCGGAAATTTTCACTTCAGGCTTGAGTCACAGTTCTTTGGAAATGAATCGAGGCATAATTAACTGAGTGACAAAATCAACCCGTTGTAAAGGCTATTTGATAGATTTCTTGTATGTAGTAAGGTTGCGCTCGGTTCCCTGCTCTGTTCAGAATATTTGCGTATCCCAATGTAGTATACATCTTTTAGCAATTTTTACCTCTGGGAAGAAACCAAAATATTTTATTGTTGTTGTCCCTGCATTTCTTTGATATGCTGTAATATTTTACAATAAGGCTACAGTTTCATTGTGTATAGGCTGTATATTGTTTCAACATACCATGAACCATGAATCTGGCCTACATCACTGAAAAGTCATCTCATAAACTATGTATTGTGGTTCCAACAAATTAAAGCAATAGCAACACATTCGATAATGCTGATCACTTTGAGGTTTATATACAGGCAGGGCTGTGAACATAATCCAAATTTATAAATTGATGTGTGTATACAGTGTTTCACAAAGAGCCAGATTCGAGAGACTTGTGTGCATCTGGTTGGTTTATTAGAGTTTTGGAACACAGAATAGTCATTAAATGTGTGTATATATATCCACAGTGCAATTTCCCAGTATACATAATGGATAATATTAGAGGACATATCTCAAATGGAATGCTGAAGTTGTCCAGTTCTCTTGCACTGCATTGTGAATGGTCAGATGACTTTGTCTTGCTGTGTTTATCTCAGGAATAACAAACAACAAGAAAACCCCAAAGAACTGTTCCTAAGCATTTTTTTAATATTTTTTTCTTTCCTTTTTTATTTTTTAATTTTTGATTATGCTTACAGGTCGTTGCACAAATACACAAAACCCCATGTATGGCAAAATAAGTCTTTAAAGTATGAAGAACAATTTCTGCAGATTTAGTAAGAGAACATGAAATGCTGGTTTTATTTATTTATTTATTATAGAAGTGTCGAGTGTGGTCAAGAAGGTGCCAAACGTTTGTCATAGTCCCCTACATCTGTCTTATTCCTCTTTGTAGTTCTGTTTCAGTTGTTTCTGTTTGTGGGTTTGTTTTTTTTTTTGAAACCTAAGTATGTAGTAGATAATTGCTGCTAAATGGACATTTTGCATGAAGATTTGAGTGCAGATCCCAGCCTGTTTTACCTGTATACTTACGGTTTGTCAGCTAAATATAAATATACTTTTAAATGAGCTTGAATTCCTGTAGGACTCAGTGTAAAAGCTCACTGGATGTGTTTTGCTGAAGAATGCTGTTGGCCTGTGCAAGTTCAAACAGTTTTAAGATTTATCAATGCAAAGGTTATTTGTGACCTTTAGGAACTGTTAAACTAGAAAAGACTAAGATTGTTGAGAGTGAGTTGTGTGTTTGGTTGAGTTAGATAAATTCATAATGAAATTATTTTCTTTCGTCCCCACTTATTTTTTTCTCCCGTATTGTCCAAAGAAGAGTGAATGGCTTCTTTGGGGGTAGGGGAAGCCAGGGTTGTCTGTTCATTTTTAAGCCTTGGAATGAAGCTCACTCTGTTGATTTGCCTATTTCACAATACAACAAACTACAGTTCTTTCAGGGTGGCTTTTTTTTTTCTTTCCCAGAGGAAATGAATTCCACTGGTTACAGGGAACTCGTCCATCCAGTAAGAGTGGATATGTTTAAAGAGTACATAAGCTGTACAAATTTCTCTTAACTGCTTCTGTCTCAAAATAAGGATAGAATATATACAGTGAAAGAAGCTGGTGAGGGGTCTGGAGCCCAAGGCTAATGGGGAGCAGCTGGGGGAGCTGGGGGGTGTTCAGCCTGGAGAAGAGGAGGCTGAGGGGAGACCTTATTGCTCCTATGCCTGAATGGAGGGGGGAGCTGGGGGTGGGGGAGGGTGTTGGGCTCTGCTCCCAGGTAACAGGCAATGGGATGAGGGAAAACTGCCTCAAGTTGCACGAGGGGAGGTTTAGATTGGATATTAGGGAAAAATTCATCACAGAAAGGGTTGGAATGGGCTGCCAAGGGAAGGGGTTGAGTCCCCATCCCTAGGGATATTTAAAAGCAGTGTAGATGGGGTGCTTAGGGCCCTGGTTTAGTGGTGGACTTGGCAGTGCTAGGTTAATGGTTGGACTTGATGATCTTAAAGGTCTTTTCCAGCCTAAATGATTCTATTCTATGATTCTAAAAATTGATGTGGTAAAGAGGGACTCGTGTGTGGACTTAAGACATGCATGGGCTTTAAATACACAGGAACAAAGTGTGTGGGAGGGTGAGAGGCAGGAGTAGATTATCAGAATCAGCAACTGGAAGAGCTGCTGGCTTTTACAGGTGCTAGGTTTTGGAAATTACATTCATTCCAAAAAATAACAGCCATTCTAAAAAATAACAGCCATCTGTGGAACTGCCTGATCATTAGTCCCTTTTTCTGTCCTTCACTCTTGAAGTGTTATTGATTTATCTGAGGAAGATGTTGATTGAGATGAAGATGTAAGTGTTGAGAAAGACAACAATAGCTTTCACAGTAAAAGGGTTTTGGCAGGCATTCAGCTTCATAGATTAAGCTGTACCATGGACTCTTCTGAAAAGCTTGCATCTTCCTTCTATGGGATGATACTGATGCTCTTTCCCCTGCCTCTCTATCCATGTCATATATATTGCTCCTTTGTATTAAAATACTTTGTGTTTCTGAAGTCCCTCTGTGCATCCTGCTCTGCTACATGAATTTCTATAGGAAAAGTTGCTTTGCAGTCTGTCAAGCTCACCTGCTTCATCTGTGAGACTGATGACAGCAGAGCAAGATATTAAATGATCAGTGGTAGAACTCACAATAAAAATAAGAAAACTATGGATACTTGCATTGCTCTATCATAAGTTCTTTCCATTTTCTTGCTACCTGCTTTCACAAAACTTGTAGAATCGTGTTAATCATGGACATTTATCTTTTCTTTCCTCAGTCTCCATCATGCTTGATTGAAATCAGCTTGCCAAATAGTTATTTAAGCTAAAGCTGCATGAAATAAAATTCTTCATGATCAGGAGTTTGAGAGGAGAGTAGGCTAAAACCTTCCTCACAGTTCTTGTAAGAGTCTATAAGATTCTCAAAATAAAAGATAAACTGGGAAAATTTCCTTTCCAGAGTAGAAAAATAGAGAGTGCTTTAAGATACGCTAGTCCCAAACCATGAATCTCTGGAGATTAGGAGGATGTTGGACTTGGACACTGACTCGGAGAATTTTTCAGTCTGCCCCAGCATGGTTCTTTCCCCAAACTGATACATTGGAACAGTCTTTTACTGTGTTTTTGTAACTCAAATGCTCCTTTCATGAGTTTGCAACTTTCTCTTCTTGCCATATCATCTGTCTTTTTATAAGCTTAAAAATATGTTTAAAGCAGGAAATTTGAAATCTCACTTCTCTTCCCTCTTCCCTCTGCCTTTCCCCGCTTCAGAAATTGAGTTGGGAGAAATCATTCTTTTCTCTGTAATTTTTACCTGTTTACAGTATACAGACATTTTCTGGGTGTTGAGAAAGATTTTACTTCAATTTTGTGAGCAAAATATGATGAATCACATTACAGGCATCTTATTTGAAATCCTTTTCTGTTTGTTTATTTGGCAGGTCCTTGACCAGTATGAACGAGAAGGGTTTAATTTCCTAGCTAAAGTTTTTAATTCCTCACATTCCTTCTTAGAAGACTTGACAGGTCTAACTTTATTACACCAGGAGACACAGGCCGCTGAGGTAAGAAAATACTCTTTGGATTTTAAGAATAAAGAGGTGGCAGTAAAGGGTGCTTGGTTTTATGTTCAGCTGTATAACCATGTGATTAAATGTATCACTGATAGAATTGAGCAGTGGTATTTGATTTATAGGGTGATTTACACAAGCCATGTGCATATTCCATCCAGCAAGATAAGATGTGTACTCTTAATGTTATTGAATAAGAAATATTGTGGGATGAAAGATCAGTTCTTTTTTAAGAATAGATGATGTGATGCATGTTGACAGCCAATTAGAAACGTGTAGCACTATTATTATTATTCGTTTTATTGTTGTCACATTTTGTGAAATTACAGAAATATTTTAAGTGACAGTTGTTGCTTGACAGTTCTGAATTTGTATCAGGAAAGTTCCTGTCGTCTTTTAAGGTGTGTTTCACTGGTAGCGTAAACTGCAGTTTGTGCAAGCGTTGCAAGTACTGTATACAAGCACTGGTAATAGGTAGTCATGATAGCACAGAGCCCAGTATGGGCTGACAACCACAGTATTTACACAGGTTCCTAGGCAGGTTAAGACATTCTCTTAAATTAATCGTAACTTCTTATATCTGCATCTTCAAGTATTGCTTTTAGAGCAAACAAGTGACTTGTGTTATGTGGTGTAAGAAAACAATTATCATTTTAGGTCAGTCTAACATGTAATTATTATATTGCTCGATGGATTATAATATTGGGAAAACAGTGCTGTTTATTTGTCTAGTGACAAAAGTGGTAATGTGGAATGAAATTGGGGTATGTTTTGTTCTCATAGAAGGTAACACTGTCTAAACGAGTTGTGATATTGAGTTTGTCCCATAAAAAATGAAGCAGGTATCTGTCTTAATATTATATAATAATAATATTTTAATAATCCTTGCTCTGTCTGCAAATGTCTGTACTGTTTTACATCTATAATTTAATTTTGGTGTAGTCGTATCACATGGATGTTTCCAAAGTTGGCCTTGAGAAGTGATTATTCAGTTATTGTAGCCTGTGTAAATGGTATAGCTGTTTTGTCAGCTGGAAATGGCTCAACAGTGTTGCTTAGTAAGGTTTATGGGGATGATGATGACTTGGCTTTCTGTTTCATGTTTTAACCTTTTAAAATAATTGGAGCAGATGCTGGAGATATTAAACTATGAAATACCTGGTGCATTCTTAAATCAGGCTGGTGATACCTAGAAAAAATTTAAATATATATGAGAGAGATCCAACAAAGGAAAACAAATACCCTTTAACAGGTGCTGCTGATTAGCAGGAAGAGTGATTGTAGTCTGATTGCCAAACATGACTTTTAGGCGGCTAAAAAGTGTCTAGTCTGCTAATGACAGCATTAAAACCAGTTACAGTCACCCTAGTTAGTAACCTATTATTTTGCAGATATTAATAAATTTCTTTTGCAGCTTCAGAATGTATATAGGTGTTTGTTTATAAAATTTTAGATATTTACAAAACGTAGAGTCTGGTGTGAGTTTATTGCAACTTACTGAAGTTCAAAGTATTACATAAAAAATTGAATTAGTGTGCTTTCAGAAATCTTTGGGTTCAACAGTGAGGTTTATGCAGTGAAGTCATTGCTCATAGGTGGAAAAACTGACATACAAAATATTGCAAAGCCAATGCATTTAAATTAGTCCAACTGCCATAGGACCAGCAACATTTCTTGGTTGCTTCCCTGCTGCATTGCTGTATTTTTGTAAAAAACTCATCTGTTTTATCAGGGTTAACTAGTTAGTCTTGGTAAAGCTTGTATTTATGAACAGTAAGGTCCAACAGACAGATTATTTGCAGATTCTAGAGCATGCTGCTTTCTTTTGGATTAAAAGACCTATTCTTTTGTTACGTTTTGCCACTGTTGACTCTAAAAGATTAAGAGGTGGTTTTGCTCAGTACATAATCTGGGGCAGTTTTAAAAATTTTTAGGCGCACAAGAGAGTGCTTTTAGTATATATGCTATTAAATTGTTCTTCACATGGTGCATTTGGTGCAATTTATATTGCTGAGTTTGAAGACTGTGAAATGACTTTCAGGTTTCTGACTACTTTTGAGCTGCTGTTGGCAGAATGTATTCTCTGAAATGGAGTTATTAGATTTGTTAACATCAGTGCTCTTTAGGTTGATACATGGCATTCTAAAAACTACAACAAAAGTAGTAAGAGATGTTTCATAAGACATATATGACCTATTTTGGTAATTAAAATATTGGATTGTTCTGTTGAGAAGTTACTTGCCTTTCTGCACTCAAACTCTTCAAAGAGATTTTGTAGATTATTGTCAGGTTTGGAGACAATAAAAATGGCTTCTAGTAACTGAAGATTTTCCTTTCCTCCTATCTAGTAAAATTTGACCAGTGCCATTGCTCCACTGTAATGAAAAGAGACTTGTGAAGTTACATGTCATCCAACCTTAACTTTACTGCAGTGATGTCGTGATTGTGTTGTAATTCTGTATGTAAAATCACTGATATTAGGCTAATAAATTTGCATCTTATAGGGACACTACTCAATATTGTTCTTTTTTTAAGAGGGAAGTAAAATCTGACAAATTAATAAAACCCATAGTCAGGATTATTCCATAGTTGTTCAAGAACAACTTCCTGTTGTAAAATTTTCTAAGAAACTTACTTCTTTAGGGCTACTCATTTTATTGTTGCCCTTTTTCTTCAGAAGCAACTGCCACTGTTCTTCAAGGCCCAATTAAGCAAAGTAATCAGGCTTATCCTTGAACAATGTAAGTGCTCTTGAATCACTGTGAGTGAAGCATGTATTATAAATGTATTTCTAGAAGGAGCAGATAATAGTAGTAAAATGAAATTTTTGCATGAATTCACTGTAGTATGTGTAGTTGAATTTCTATACAAGACTTTTTCAGCTGTGTTCATTTTCAGAAGTACAGAAACTTTATCTCTGTTCTTAATAAGACCTAATTATAAATATACTCTCTTACTTTGTATTTCAATTCCTAAATTGCTTGGATGCTTTAAGAAGCTTTAGGATACTTTCTGCTTCAGATGAAGGATACTTTTCTTCAGGATGAAAGAAAATCATAAAATACATAAAAGAAATAAAATTGTCACTTTATGACTGATTAAAATGCCAGAAGTGGTAGAACTCTTGCCATCTAAGAGAATCATAAAGACTTTTGGAAGAAGTCAAATCCAGACCAGAGTTTGTATTTCTGAATGAATAAAGGTCAGATATTGGTGCCAGCAGGTCATGATGTCTGTTATTTTACTTTAGTGATTTTGTATTTCAGGTTTTTTCTTACAATGTGATCCACAGCATGTATAGTTTATGTGACAAGTTCTTGTGGTCAGTGAATGAACCCTATTTGGTATTTGCAAAATCCCCTTGCTGCACTGGTTTAATGTATCCCAAACAATGCAGATTAGAACTTTTACCGTATAGAAGGATGGGATTAAAAAAAAAAAAATCATGCTAGTAAAATACTTTCAGCTCTTTGACTAGGAGAAAATGTAGGAAACCCTTTTTTATCCTGATTCTGCACTTCTTTGAAGTTTGTGCCTGACCATTTTTTCAGCCATTTCTTGGGGAACAGGATTTAGTTGTGTAATAGACAGCTGGTACTAAAAGTGAACTTTATGCTTATTTGGAAGAAAATTCAGGATATCTGATGTGCTTTGCTAATAAAAATATCCTGCTTGTTTCTGATTCTGCATTATATTATGCAACGTATTTCATGCTGAAACAGTAACATATGAATAGCCAACCCCCCCCCCCAAACAATACAGAAAAACCCAACAATATTATAATAGTAGGTTCTGTAGCTTAACAATTATTTCTGTTAACCAAGCAGTAATCAGAACTGAATTTTACTTGATGTTATGAAAATTTCCTACAAAAACACTACAGATGGGTAGACCAAAATTAATATTTGAGACTTTTCTGTGTCTATGAGCTTTTTTGTTTTCCTTCATGTTTTTAATCTGGTGTGTTTCAGAAGAAAGTCACTTTGACAGATTCAGGCCTGCCCTGGAATCTCTTTTTTAACAGATTAAGAGATTAATCTGTTTCTTTTCAAGAGGTGAGTTGGTGGGGGGTTTTTGAGTTTTTTCATTATATCAATTAGTGTCATCATTCTTCTTCATTTATCAAGCAATATTTCCCAGATCTTCAAATAATGGTAATTTTTTTTCTGCAAAAAAATTCCTGTTTAACACAGTTGAAATGAATCTTGGTTTTGGTAGATTTTAAAATGTACTTAAATTTCCAATGCATTCTGTTTATTGTGCTTTACTATTGCCTGCTTAAAATAGATAAGTCCATTGTTCAGCACAGTGTTCTGCTGAATCTATGGTATTTCTGCTGTTGAAATTTTGCCAAGGAGAGGTAATTGTTACATCAACACAAACCAGTTCAAACTCAGTTTTATAGCCTTTGAACAAGCCCAGGAATGGTCTTTATGCTGATAGCTTATGCTGCTCTTGAAGAATTTAGAAATACCTGTGAAGTTTGTACCAAAACAGGATCTCTTTGTCTTTCCCCTGATAACTTTACTGATGACCTCAGTTATTACTCATAATACTCAAATGCTTTTCCTAGGACTTACATCAGCAACTGATGTGCACAAATACTTGTGTTTCATGATATATTTGAATATATATTTGTCCCTTCAGGGCAGGGAGGGCCATGTGCAGTTGCTGTACTTAGTTGAAGCCAAGGGAAAGAAGGGGGAAGGACAGTTGATTGTAGGGTTCTACAGAATGGAAAGATTTCTTGAGTGTATGGTACACAGGAATGCTTCAAGGAAGATCTCAAAGGTGAGAGCCTGCCAGTCTTCTGAGCTGAGAGTCCTGTAAGACCAGAGCTTGGAGTGTTATAGCTACAAACATTTTCATCAGTCAACCCTCATAAATGCTTTCCGAAGAGAGATTTTAAAAGTGAGGAAAGCTAAAGAAATGCTACCCATATCACTTTGAATGAATAAATCTACATTGTCACAGGCATCCTGTGTGACCTTGTC